GTTATTATGTTTTATTTTCTGAGATTGTTAATTCTGAGAGTGAATATAAGAATAGCCACTGAGTGGGCTTGACATACGTTTCATATTCGAATGTCGTACTTAATCCCACACGTTGACTTTTTTACTTATACTCCTTTTATTTTTATAAATGTTCGAATCTCATTCTTCCAAAAGACTGGACTGCCTGGTGGTATTATGGTGATAGTGTCTCGATCTCCAGGAATCCATTTAGGAGACAAAGGCATTCAAAGTGTTACTACGAATTATTTATTATATTTTTACTAGATCCTTGAATTCGACTTCGCCTTTGTAAAGAAACGTCAATAACCGCTCGAGTACGCACTCAAAGACAATATATTTTTAAAATATCCATTGTTATAGTTACAATACTAGTAATGGCCCTGATAAAATTATCCTCAACAATAAATTTTGTACTTCAGCTATGTGTGTTAGGTATATCTTAATTTTATCGAACTAATCGTTCATCGTGTTTATTAAGATCTTCACTTGCGTCAGGTGAAGTGTGTTTTCGCTTTTTATTACTTATTTATTTACCCCATATTATGGCAAATCTATTTTTGATTATTTGACTTTTATTATGATTACTTTGAATGCACGTCATGAATTTTTTTTTATTTGGATAGGTGAAACCTGTTTCATTATATGTATATACATATAATGCACTTATGTGCATGTCGCCTAACCTTTTGGGGATTAAAAGGACGTACCATTACGTCATGATAATTATCCTTCAAGATATTCTGAGGCATATTTATCATAACCACTGAAAATATAATTCATTTTCTTCCATTTACGAAAGACAAGTACTGAGAATCTTAAAATATTTATAATAAGTATTGGTGCATTCTTCGGTAACATTTTAAACTGATGTAGGTACATCGTTGAAAGAAGGTTTATGCCAACGCTCCCCTCCTCCCCTCCCCTACTTGTCTGCTTCCGAAATACCAACCTCCAAATATTTGAACCAACTAAAATATTTTACTGATATTTCATAATATTGCTCATCGTTTACCTGGAACTATTTCATATGCTGGCTATCTTAAAGGATATTTTAATCCTTGTAGCTTGACTAGATTAAATATTTCATAAATACTTTGCATGCATTTGTATTTGTATTGAAAATTAATAACTACGGAACTTCATGCATTTCATTTTGATAAAGTACGCAGAGGCACTTAAAGGTAATTGGGAAGATGACAGGGTATGAAAAGTTTAAGGGTGGGGGGTAAAACGTCATTTCTACGTATAAAATGTACATAGAAGTAACGTCACGCGACATTTCAAATCAATATATCGTCGAAAGTATTTGTTTCTGTAAGAAAATAAAAAATACGTGTCTAATGATTTAAAAAAATCGACCAGACGGAGATTAAAATAAAAATTAGGCATCTACCCTATTAGAATAATGCCTGCTATTGGCCAGTTTATTATACTGTCAATGGAGAAAGTCTAGAATCTTCCTTTGGTACCTACATAGGATCCTCGAACCTACTAAAGTTATCGATGTAGCCCAAAGGATAAGCAAGCTGAAATGGCAGTGGGCCGGTCACATTTGTCGAAGAACTGATGACCGCTGGGGTAGACGTGTTTTGAAGTGGAGACCGCGTCTAGGCATATGTAGTGTAGGGCGCCCTCCAGTTAGGCGGAATGACGATATACGTTACGTAAAGTAGCTTACCAGCTACTTGACCCACTACCGTGGTTGGATGTATAGAGCTGAAGACCGAGCTCAGTGGCGTGCCATTGGAGAGGCTTATGTCCAGCAGTGGACGAAAACAGGCTGTTGATGATAGGATCCTCGATATCACTCAATCTAATCAGAGAAATGAAGTTGTGACCCCTCACAGTCGCATTAAGACCACTCGACGAACAAGGCTGTAAAAATAGCATCAAAAAGCAAAATATTTAATTTAAAATTAATAAATGTCTCATTAATTCTGAATTTATAATTTATTTTTATGTATGTCAAATGTCAATACCTATCTGTAATAAAAATAAAAAAAAAACCGTTTAAATTATGAAGTTTTTAGTACAAAAACTAGATTTGGTTATCTGTGATCACAATTAATTTTATTTTTATATGGCGTACTTTGCATATTTTGTCGAGTTTCTGGAAACCGATGATGTCTGTTGTGCATTTCATTGCGTGTATAAGTTTCTTAATATTAAACGTTACTAAGTTAGGTATGATATCGGGAGTTACCCGATATTTATTAGGTTAAATGAGTTAAAATTCGGAGTCGCTTCCTTCTGTGAACAAATTATGTTGGCAAAGGAAGCGGCTGAAAGAGAGAAAGGGAGCCAGGAGGCATCAAGTTTTCTCTCCTCCCATTGTAGTCGCGTCGGTCGTCAGCGCCGTGAGGCAGCAGCCGATATTCCGATTTCTATCTGATTGACCTTATACAGACTAAGACACCCGTTTCTCGTGTGTGAGGGTACGAGTTCGGAACCTACCAACGTTAGAAGTATTCTAAGAATATTTAGACACCACTGACAAAACAGTAAAGGGCAACATCGTTAGGAAACCAGGGCATTTAATATCTCGTTATAACTTTGAAATTGACCACAATGAACAAGCGTGGTGATTAATGCTCAAACAGCATTGGCCATTTCCAATGTGATGTTGATGTATGACAGATTAAGATCTTGCATCTGAAAAGGTCCCAGCTAACATTAGAAAATAAAATCCTTCTATACAAAGCTATCCTCAAACCAGTATGGGTATACGGTATACAGTTGTGGGAGACATCTTCACATTCCAACATAGAAATAATCCAAAGGTTCCAAAACAAAATACTGAGAATAATAACACATGCCCCCTGGTTCGTGACTAATGAACAATTACACAACGACTTGAAGATGCCGATGGTTGCAGAGTAGATTTTCAAACACACCAAGTCCTACAAACATAGGATCACAAATCATCCAAATATGCTGGCACAACATTTGATGGATAGGAAAGCATCAAAGAGACGGTTGAAACGAAGGATTCCTCAAGATGTGCTG